GCTCTTAAAGTATTGATTAAAAATTATAAAAAAATAAAGATTTGTTTATGAAAAAATATCACTAACATATCAAATTTTATAATCAACCGCAAACTTCTTCTAAGAAAGATATCAAGTTTTAATTTTAACAATTTTACAATATTCAGTTTATTGTTTTAATGTGTAGACACATGATAAAAAGACAAATATATTAAATTATTAAAAATATTTATTATATTAGAAAATATAATTCATTTAATATTTATTATTTTTAGTAAATCCTTTAATACTTTCATTCGTATAAAATCTAAATTTGAACAAAACTAGTACATTATTTCTTAGGTTCTGTAGGTACTCTTTACAAATAAAAAATAAAGTTTTATTTTAATAAAATATTTATATAAATGATATTATATATTACTGAAATAAAATTCTTATCTTAGTTCAAGGAAATTATAAAAAATATTTATAATATTATACTTAAACTTTATTTTAAATTTTTGTTTGTATCTCTACCCGTAGAGACATCGTTAACATTTGAAATCTGACTAATTCTGGACATGTTATTTAATGATGAGTTTAAAATTCATTTGAAACATAAATATACTTATCATAGACTAGAAATATTTATTTTATTTTATTTTATTTTTTGTGTCCATTTTAATATATAGTTCAAAATTTTTAAAATACAATTAATATTACAATAAAAAGTTATATATGATAGGTATATAAAATAGTTATCAATCATTAATATATGATAAATATGTAAAACATTTAATAATTAAGTATATAAAAAGTAATTAGTATTTTATTTAACTAAAAAAACAAAAAACAAAATTTATAGAGGGGAGATATAAACTAAAGAATAAAAATACAAATATGTTAAAACACGAATTATAAACGAGCTAACCCAAAACTGAATATATTTATACAAATTTAAAAATATGATTGTTTTATGCATAAGATATCTATAATCTAGAAAATAAATAAATAAATATATCTACGTATATGAGTAATTAATGAGTGTTATGTGAATACAAATCTTATAATAAATAAGGCATAAAAATATGATAATTAATGCATTTAAAAATATTTTTTAAATTTTATAATTAAAAATAATTATATTAATTACTTCTTATAAAAAAATAGTAGAGAGAGTAGTTTTAAATATTGTAATTCTACTTTGTCAGTTAAAAAAAATATATATATATAAAAATAATTTGAGGTAGAACATAATATATTAATTTTGTGAGTGTGAATCTCACAAAATGTAAAAATGTATGTATTTTTTTTTTTTTTTTACTTTAGTGAACCATTCAATAGATTAAATGAATTTTTTTTATTTTCTATTTTATGGCTACATGCATGTGTGTAAGATCTTATGAATATAAAACTCATTTTTTAGAATAAGTATTTTTGAAATGTATTATAAATTTAGGAGTAGAATCTTTTAACACTAATATAAGTATAAAAATTTTTACACTTGATCTGAGTCTTTCATTTAACTTACATGTAATGGCTAGTAAAGTAATAAATTATAACTCATTAGATGTAATTTAAATAAAAGGCTTAGATTGAGTGTAAAAGTTTTTAGACTTATACTAATAATGTGAGAAATTTTTTTTTCCATAAATTTATGATATATAACTACTTTTTATTGATCTTGATAAATTAATTATTTGTTTCTTATAAAAATAATTAGAGGGAGTATTAGTTAATGAGCATTTTTTAAGTATTAAATAAAGAATTAATAAATAAAATGTCTTGAATGTAAATTAGGTGGTGTAGTGAAAAATATATAAAGAAAACATTATTATATTTTAAATAATTTTTAAATTAATATTCTTAAAATATTCATTAATATTTCCTTTTTTTTAGTAAAAAAAAGACAAATGAAAGAAACTCTTCTATCACTAACGTTTCCCCTTTTAAAGATTATATATCTCCAACCCAGATCTTGTCCTAAATACTAAACATAAAATGGTGAACAAATTAGAACTCATTGCATAGGTAAGGGAAGAAAAAGAGAGGTAAATACAATCTCATAGTACTCTTCTTTTCTCTTCTCAAAAATTAATTTAAGGAAATATTGATTTAATTTCTATTTTATTTCTATGTACATCTCCATCTCTATAGTTATAAGGTACAAGCGTTAATTTTTTTTAGTTTTGTGCAGGTTTTTTGGTCTTCTCAAACATCATTCTTCAAACTTAGATATCGGCCAAATCAGACTCTGGGAAGAACATTCTACGAAGAGTTGCTAATACTATTTAGAAACAGATAAGTATGTGATAAACTCATCTTTTACTGTAAAATTATTTTTCCTTCCTTTGTCATGATTGTATGAGTTGATCTCCTAATTAGAGAGAGTCTAGTTAGGTACTAATCCAATTTTATTTTTAACACAATCTCTCAAGTTGAGAGATCTAGATTCTCTTTTGTTGTGACTGGAACTAGACATTCAATTCCATTTTCACTTAAGCGAAAATAGACTCCCTTAAGGAAAAATAGAAAAAATAACAAAAAAAATTTACGCAAAATTATTTTAAGCGAAATTTTTGTTTCTTAAGAGCATCTTTTCTTTCAATTTTCTCCTCTCTTTCTTCTCCATACCTAACACTCCCTCATCAATCTCTATATTCAACCATTATTTCCTTTTCATACCTAAGTCCTCTCTTCCTCTTTTCACCCTTACCTCACCCCATATCTATCTCTCTCTCTTTTCTCCATACCTAACTCCTTAACCCTCCACTCTTTCTACCATCACCCTTATACTACCTACTTTCTCCATCTCCAGCCATTCGAGTCCCCTCTTTCCCCACGCCCAATCCCTATATGTACAAAATTTGTTTAAACTAATTTTGCATAAAAAAATGTCATTTTATTTAAGCAAAAATAGAATTAGATGTCCAATTCTTGTCACCTCGAGAGGGGGTCTATATCTCAAGTTGAGAGAGTTCAAAATTGAGACTTGATAAACCAGGTCATATTTGGATGTGATTTTTAAGTTGAAGTTTTGAAAATTATAAAAATTACGCTTAATTTTAGTTTTGTGGTTTTGGTTTTATTTTTTTCTTTTATATAGTTTAGTTTCTAAATTTTTAATTTAAAATATACAAATTATTTATTACATATGTGAATTTATTTGTGAAACACAAGAATAATTAGTAGCAATAAATAGGCAATGGTAGTAAATAGTTTAGGTGATCAAGGATAATAATAAAAGTAGTGACTAATAGTGAAGTTCAAGGTGATAGCAATAATGGTGACTATAATAACTTATGGTAGTAATAATTGTGACAATAATAGTGATAAAAGAAGTAATAGCAGTGATAATAGTAAAATGATAATAGTGATAATGATTAGGATGGTAATAAAGGTGGAGATAGTAAAATAATACTAGTGGTAAGTGTTTAGAGAATTCAAGTAGATCATTCCTAAATTAGGCCAAAATATCTACAATTTAAAATGTCCATAGAGCCAAAAAGTTCTCTGAGTTAAGTAAGAGAGGCCTAACCCATTGGCCAATAACCTTTAAAAAATTATTAAAATCTATAAAAGATATTTTACATAATGTATTTTTTACTATAAACTTGTAAATAAATAAACTTGTTTAAAAATAGACAAAAAAAAATTAAATTTGTATAATATTAAATATTTATAATGAATTATTGTTATTAAATAAAATATAATACTTTATTATCAAATTAAGTTACATATTTATCTAATATTTGATTTTATTATTAATAATTATTAAATCATAGTAATAATTTTGTTCATATAATTTTATAAATAATTTTTTAAATATTATTTTATAATTTTATTTGAGTATTAACCATAAAATTTTTATGTTTTACTATTTTATATTATCATTTTATTAATTTATTTTTATAAATTATTTTAAAAATATTACATCTTCTTTAAATATTTTTAAAATAACAATACAAACACAAAACTGACAATAAAAAGTAATATTGACTAAATTTATTAAGTCATATGTTATCCAAATATTCAAAATAATTAATTTAAATAAAATTTAATGTGTTAAAAAAATTAAATGCAACATTGTTATTATGAAAATCAGTAGACATATAATATATAATATTGGTGAATGAAAACAATAAATAGTTGAGGTAATAGAGGTGAAAATAGTAAAAGAGCAATCATAACAGCAACATCGATGTTAACTGTGACAACTAGTAATATTAATATAATGGTGATACTAACCTCGGTGAGGATGAGCAATGACAATAATAGTATATAATAGGCAATAGATTCTTTTATTATTTAGATGGTTAATACCGAGATCGAGTGCGGAGGGTGACAAAGAATTTAATTATATAAATGATATTATTATATTTTACATTTTTTATTTATTTATTTTTATTTTTTTTAAAAATTATTTTTTTTCTAAAGATTAATATTTTTATATGTTTTTTTAGAGAAAATAACTCGGAGGTTCATCCACTTAATTGAAAACAAATGTGTAATAGTTTTTTTTTTTACTTAAGGCTCTTAAACAAAAATCATACCATGATCCAATGGTTCAACCAGCCCAATTGCGAAAAAATATATAAACTCCTATCACTACTTTTACGGTTACATGATAAACCCTTGAGAATTGTGCATTAATATCACTCTTACAGTGTTCCCAATGAAACTATTGTTTCCGAGTTTGGAAATTGGTGCTATATATGCTAACTAGTCTAGCACATGCATATATTCATTTCTATCAAGGTATACATCTATACTAGTAGCTCAATAAAGGAGTAGTCATAGTATATATATACATATGGGAACAATTGCATGTTACATAAATAGTACTATTTTATCGAAAAGATTGAATAGGATATATAGTAAGTAGAAACGTATGGTGTTTTTGCACTACCATATGTATGCATGTTCAAATGTGAATCAACCGTGACAGCTAGATGAGTGTTTATTCAAACTGTTAGTTTACTAGGAATTTTTCTTTGATCTTTAGGATTTCCCTTTCTAATCAGTAAGAAAGCAAGAAAAACATGAATCCAAGCTCCAATCATGATATCTCATCTGTTCAGCCTATTGCTAATGCTTCTGAAGTAACAGTTTTTGGTGATCATCGGAGGGATGATAGGGAGGAGTCCCAAAAATATGAGGGAGTACAAAAGTATGCATACTCCTTTGTATCTTTGCGTTGATAAATCTGCATTAATTATTCTTTGTGCCTAGCTAACATGGGTTTTGTGTGAACTCAGAATCAATGATGGACCAATGTATGAAGTTTATGTACGTGACATTAATGATCATGTAACCGAAAGCAATCGAACAAGTAATGTTAATTCATAATTTCCATTCCCTCTGTATATTACTACTGTTCTATCTATACATAATTTTGCTGAAACGATTAAAAAAAACCATTCACCATTTGTAGGTTCAAGATTCTAATATTATCTTTACCTATGTATCTTGCAGTTTATCTTGGTGAGTGAACCAACCTGCTCAAGTACTTTTTAGATTCCTTACAAAAGGGGAAGTTCATTTTTAATTCAACTTTGATATATATTCTTGCATTGCAGCCTCTTTTTTTATATCTCATTACTTGTTTAATTTCTTTCTACCTTTTTTGCTACAATTTTTTTTTCTCAAAAGGATGTCCAACAATCTTATATATATAATACCTTAGATTTGACCAGTGATTTTTTTGAATGAGAACATTTCAATAATGTGCAAGGTGATGAAAACATGATATACCTTGTCGCTAATATATTAAATATTTTGTTAATGGTAGGTAAAAAAAGGTAATTTGTTATATGTATGATTATCTCTAATGCAATTAATAATTTTTATAGCTACATGAATTGAACTGAAAAAACAAATCCTTTGTAGATTTGGTAATTATGAATATATGTCGTGGATGCTTCGACTGATAAATAATTTGAGCAGGTAAATTTGACAAGGCCGAGACAGCAGCCAGAGCTCATGACTTGGTGGCCTTCAAACTTTGGGGATCCAGAGCAAAAACAAATTTTCCAGTAAGCTTTTTAAGCTACTGTTAAATTTACGTGTCATATATCTCTTGCATGCATACGCAAATAATACTGTATATGATATCATAACTAAATATATTCACTTTTAGTGGCATATGAAATATTTTTTAAAGAAAAGAAAAATACTTTTTTAACACTCAAAAGTAGACATATAAAGGTATTCTTTTGTGTTTTAGGATGTATTTTTGGAATACGTATATATAGAAAAAAATTTTAAAAAAATTATATACGATGTCTCATTTTAATAGTTCAAATAGCAGAATTGTTTTTTATAGCAAGAAATGGTATTAATAAGTGATAACACCGTAAAAGTTAATCTTAGAACTCCAGAATGTGTCGAGAAGTAAATTGAAAGGTACTATATATGAAAAGAATACTCAGAACCTCATAGACATGGCTTTCAATTGATTTTCGGTTAGTGCTCATTTTGGATATCTTTTTCAGTTGATTTTAGCATTATTAATTTGTTACAAGCATCAATCTGATTTCCTTAATACAATAATCAATCAAATTCACTCTTTGTTACCCTTAATCACATTATATTTAGCAAAATTGCATCTTCAAACACTATACAAGACTGGTGTTGTGGTAACGCTATTATTGTTCCAGGAAACTCAATACAAGACAGCACTGCAGGCTATGGCTGACATGACACAAACTGAAGTTGTGGATACTGTCAAAAGGTAATATCAGAAGAGAAATGTGACACCCCATTTTTTTAGTGTTAGATGGGTAGAGAGAATGAGATAGAAAATAAAAATGTGCCGGATAATGTGATAAAAAAAGAAGAAAGAGATAAAAAAATTGATATAAAAAAATTTATGAAAATATAAGAATTAGATATCAAAGTACCCTCTCTTTTCCTAACTAGTTTTCTTGGTATACCCAGGTTAAGTTTCACTTTTTCCAAACTCATGTCCATGTATCGTGGAGTCACCAGGTATATCAGAAGTAACTCTCTTGATTTCTAGCTATATATACATATCTCTCTCTCTCTCTCTCTCTCATTTTTACTTAATTGTAAAGCAGAGATTTATCAACTGGGAAATGGCAAGCATATTACGGTTTAGGCAGCGGAAACCACAGATCTCTTGGAACATTCGGTGAAATCATTTAACCATTTAATTAACATATTCTATATATGCAGTAGTATTTTTAAAATATTCATTTAAGCCAATTAATTAAAGCCCTGATTAGTTTCTGATCTTTTAATTATGTAAACAGACACAGAAGAGGAAGCGGGAAGGGCTTTTGATGTTGAAAGCATAAAGCTGAAAGGGCACAACGCCATTACTAATTTTCATATCAAGTTTTACAACGTTGAGGCCATTCAGCATGGGGAAACTGACGAGAAAATAATTTATAAGCCAAAAGACAGTGTCAACATCGCGCAAATTTTTCGGCCTTTTGCGCATCTTGCGAGAATTATGATCAATTGGAACGAAGAGGGGGAGCAGCAACTTGAAAGCCTAATGGAAATTGATGGTGATGTTAATGGATAAGTTGAGAAGCCTATGAATTAATCAATTCTCTGGATTTCAATGTTGAATAGGTTTCCCTGTGAAGAAATCTATATTGTCCATACTTGAAGTTAAACATTTATAATATAATAGTATGATAGTAGTGCAAGACTGGTGAACTTGAGAGCTTGCATGCAGCATGCTCTTTTATATATGTTGGCTTGAATATTTATATACCTTCTCGTTTTAATATGTATTGTTAAAATACCATATTATATATGACAACTTGATGATTTAAAGCTGAATTTGAACCCCGTTATCCTCCAAGCATTGTGCACCGAGTGTTAAGCATGGTTTTTAAGCTACGTACATTTATGCTTTCAAATTTAAATTATGTTTGTTTTTTTTTTTTCCAAATAACTATATTTTGTGAAACTTGATTTCCGTCTATGGTAAGATACCAGTTTAGCTTTGTTGTTGTACGTACAGTACTTTTTTTGGTCATGGTTGTTGTATTAGTACTTAGACAAGAGGACTCAACGGTGGTTTGGTCTGGTAGAAATTAATTGTAATTGTAAATGAGAGGACTCGGTAGTGGTTTTTGCTCTGTATAGAAATGAATTATTATTGTAGATGCATCTTAGAGTCATTTTTTAGGTGAGATAAAAGGTGAGCTCTATATGTGCTAATAGGTAAGAATTACGCGATTCAATTTCTTGAATCCAGATTCAATTCTTGGATCAAATAATGAATTGAGTTGGGAACTTGAAGGTGAATTCTAAAATGGACATCAAAAGCATGTTGGACTAGTTTGGGATGTGCAAAAGAAAAGATAAATTTGTTGTAGTCATTATTTTAATGGTTTCATCAGTGTGGGCTATTTTTAAGTATTGAAAAGTGATACATTTTTATTGACGAAAAAAATATTTACACTTTTGCTTTTAACTGGTTTTTTGACAGGCTTACTCATATGACATGTCACTCTTGACACCGAATGTGAAGGAGCTTCCGTTGATTATGCATGGTCAAGAAATTTTGCTTTCTCCAAGTGATTTTAACGCTGTAAAAAAAAAATCACGATTTAGAGTTGGAGATTACATATCTTCTTTTTTCGCTATCTATTAATAGCCTGTTTTTAATATATTGAGGGATCCCATCAGATACGTGAGGTGAAATGGAATAAATTAGCGTTAATCGATGGTGGTTTGAGATAATTTATTTGCTTTTTATTAATTACATGTAGTTTTGTCTTTCTTAATTACTATTAGATCTCGTGCAAAAAAAGATGGCCCATGTCAAGCTTTAGACTGGAATTCTTAAGGTTATTATTTGTTTTGCTGGAAGGGTGAAATGCTTGTGTAAAAGACTTGAATATTTGTTGACAAAAAAGAACACTTAAATGTTTTAGTTTGGTTTTTTTTAATCTAATTAGATGTCTAATTTAATTTATTAGAGTTTTTTAGTGGCTAAGGCTTAGTTGTATTCAATATCCTACCTTAAAAAGTTGTTCTCCCGTTCTCTCTTTTTTAATAATATTATCTTTTTTTTCAAAAAAAAAAAGAAGTGTCCTACAGAAAGCTTATTTGCATTTTATATGTGTACAAGTATGGCTCTTTCAAGGACTAACTCGATGGATTATTAAGAAAATGTTAGTCTTTATTTTCATTATCTTAGGATTTGAAGAATTAAAAAAACTTGACCCTAATTGAGAAATAATGGGCAGCAAAGCTTTCTATTGCATAAAAGGGCTCGAAGTGATAGTTTAAACGTGTCTACCAATTTAAAAGTAAATAACTATAAAAATAAAAATTTATTAACATTTTAATTATTAAAAAATAATATTAAATAAAATTTTATTTAAATTAATAATCTTTTAATAAAACATTGTGCTTTTTTCTTAACTTATACATTTTCTGTACAAGAAAAACAATTGTTATAAAATTTGCTCATGATAAAAGTAAAAATCACTAAAACTTTACTTATAACAGAAATTTAAAGATAATATTATTAATTTATTTCAAAACATGAAACAAAATATGAATTTCAAGGTAATTATTAATTATATTTTTATTAATTGTGTTATGATTAATAATATTCTTAAATTATATTTTAATTATTTATATTTAGACAAATATTTACGTACATTATCATAAATACTATTATTGTTATTCTCTGATGAGTACAAAAATACCGAGTTTCACTAAATCCCCTCAGTAATATATATAAGTAAATGTAAGTAACAATAAAAGTTTATATGTATTGCTGATTGATATACCGTACCTATATACTGCACCTATTTTTGTTTTTATATTTATTTATAAATTATTTTTTAAATTTTTTTCTAATTTACTTTTATTTTTTACAAAATTTAAGTATAGGATACTATTGGTGTTATTATCCAATCAGAATTGAAGTTTCACCTTAATGAAACGCATGATAAAAATTGAGATTAAATATTAGTACATTAATAAAGGTGAAATTTTAATTCTTATTTAAAAAAACACCAAGAATACTTATATTACACCTAAATTCTGTCTTTTTTTATTTTGTCAAATTTATTGGTCGAGTACCATAAAATGGGCAGAGTTTTCCACTTTACTTGGCCCAATAAGAAACATACTGTGTAAACGCTCAGTTTCTTAAAATGATGCTGAGTTGTAGACCCAAAATAAAAAAATTGTGTATTAAAAGTTATTTTAGGCAGCTTATGATGTGATAAGAAAATATTTTAAAAATACATGCATATGAAAAAAAAAAGGTCAGAGATACAAATAATTATACAATGTCAATTTTTAGTTAATAACCTAACGAAATTAAACCTTGTTTGACTAAAAGTAAAAGTGTTTGATTAACAAATTTTTACTAACTCATAACTTTTTTAGATTTTATATAAATAACATTTAACCTCATCACTTAATGTTATTATATTTATTTTTATATACAGAAGAGCTAAAGCCTTAAAATTACAAAACTAGTCTCGAGCAAAAGACCCCATAAGCATCCTATCTAATGATAGGAATCAAGTAACTATGCCGATTCTCAATTATATTCATAACTACAGAAGCAGTATGACCAAGTTTTACTTAAAATATCTGCAGCTTTATCCTTAATTAATACTTTAATAAAATTTCTCATTTTTTTTTATCTTTTAGTATTATAGTTTACACTATCTATTTCAATAAAATTTCTCCAATAACATTACATTATTCTTATTATTTATTTTAAATTTTTAATAAAATATTTTATCATTAAACAAAAAAAAATGAAAAGTTTAAAAGTAACTAAAAACATAAAACTATAATTACCTAAAATATATTTTATATATAAAATTACAGACATACAGAAAGATAATCATATAAACACATTTTTGTGTGAATTTATATTTATTAATTTAGTTAGCTGTTAGTTTTATCAAACATACATTCAATATATTACCTTATTATATTCCAAGTAAAACTTATCTTTTTTCAATTCAATTATTTTTTTTTCTGAACAGTCTAAACACAGATGTGCGATTTGTACATATCCAATACATGTTTTATAGAAGTCTCTTTATAATTAGATCTAGATCCAGTTTAAGTAAATTTTTAATTAAATGCTTGAAAAATTGCAGTCTTGCATACTTCATGTTTAAATAAACTTAAATGAGAAAAGTTTTGAAAAAAATAAAAAATATAAATTAATTGAACTGATAAAAATGATTAATTAATTTTATTTTTTATTTTCACCTCATAGATATTTATTAAAATGTTAATCTAACCGCAGAAGATCTTTAGAAGATTCAGGAAGTTGAAACAGGCCACGTTGACCAAAAGAAAGAAAAGAATCAAGTCACGTGTTGCCTTACCCAGAAAAGTGTGGTTCATAACACCCTAAGAAACGTGAAAAGCATAGAACGATGTCGTATCAAGTTAAGCTAAGCTAATACTCTGTAGTGCATAAGTTTTGAAAATCTTTTAATATACTCTTAATGACAAATTAATATTAAAAAATCTATTACAAATATATCTTGCAAGCTATAATAATAATTAATAAACAAACATGAAGATGTAAATACTTGAACAAAAATTCTTCAATGCTAAGCTAAAATGACTTATCCTTATATACAAGAAAAAAAATGCAGGTTTTAAGCTCTGCTATTGATGGAGATTCTCAATGTATGTAGAATCTTTCTAATCCATTTATTTTTATTATCTCAATTAACAATTCCTTGTTGCTAAATATTCATTTATCCTTTGGTAAAAGCGCTCAGGTACACATGTGAAAGTGACAAAAGGTTCACATGGACCAAACTTCACGTAAGAGTTGATATCTAGCATTTGTTATGGGGGGGTTTCCTTGCTCTTTGTGGTTACCTTTTCCATTATCAGAGATTGTTGGAGATGAAGGCATTTTATCAACGATGGATGTGAGAGGGGAATCAAGTTCCTCTAGCTCTTCATCACTTGTGTATCCTCTCCTTTGAACAGCTGATACATTCCTTCCCAAGTGAGACTTTCCTCCTGCCTCTGCAACTTTCTCTGCCACATTAGCTGAAGAGGGAGGTGTATACACAACCGGAGCAGCCACATAGGGGAAGCTTCTTATAGATTCCGCCGATAATCTTCTCTCCACAATAGTCTAAAAAAGTAAACAAATTCATTAAACTAGTTTTCAGAATTATTGTGCTCTTAAGTATAGCAGAAGGTTAAAATACTAGTAAATCTATTTTAGTCCTCTAATAATAAGAGTCGGTTAATTTTATTATTAACTTTATAAAAAAATCACTTTATTCCTTTTAGTCCTTTTTTACTTTATTTTTCATTGTTGTTTTATATCAAAAAGAACTAAAATAAATGTTGTCTTGTAAAAGTCAAGTGAGGTTTTTGTAAAATCAGGGATTATAATTGTCAACACTTATAAATAAGGAACTAAACTAGATATTGACTTATTTAAAATATTACCCCTTGAAATATTAAAGGCGTCATTATCAATTTTAGAATAGAAATAAATTGTTTATTCTTTCCTTGCTAATGAAAATTGGTTATGGTGTTAAGTATGATGAGTGAGAGAAACCAAACTTTAATAGCCAGGAGGTTGGTGTTTATAACATACCATAAAATAACAAAATTTAATGTTGACTTTATTTTTCTGTTGTAACCTTATGAACAACTTAAATGGAAAGTGATGTATGGTATACCTCCCCATTTAAGGCCTCCAAGACAGCTCCTGGAACAGGGTCTGGACAGAACTCATCTGGAGTGAAGTTACAAAGAACACGTATAATCAATGAAAGACTGATGGATGGACACACCTGTAAAACAATACAAGTGATAGAATAAATGCAATGACAAACCAACAAAGAGTGAAAATGATATGCCACAGAAGAAAATTGTATTTAATTCATGAAATTAACCTCCTGTCTGATTTTTGTATCTATAAGCATGTCTTTAGGGAGCATCAGAAGGTCACTCAAGTCATTAAGGAGAACAAAAGATTTAGGTTCACCATCTCCACCCTGCCTTTCATTATTCTCACTGTTCTCTTGATCTTCATGTAGACTGTCTTCAGCGTCCATGCCAAACATGTCAGTAAGCCATCTAGACCAATTGCCAACCTGCAGTTAAGGTAGCTCTTCCGTAAGCATAAACACCTAAAGCATGACTTTTCTACATGATGAATCACTGATACTGCATAATAGTCACATGACTCACATCAACTAAGCAATATAAACCCCAAATTTTGTCAATTCATTTTATCATTCCTTTCAATGGTACCATTTTTGGTGGCTTTGGACATTCCCACAGGAAGGAGATCAATAAACCATACCACAAGGCATCTGAAGAGTTAAAATCACATACGCAAACATGAAATCTTATGGGCAGATGATGATCTGAGGGGATTATGAATGAAGTTAGAATATATGGGGGTCCAATACACCAAATTTGTCATGAAAAATTACCATGCTTTTTTATCCCAAAAAAAGAAAAAATATAAAGTAATAAATTCATGCTAGACAGAAAAGTTGAACTGACAAACAGAAACAGTACTCATCTTATACCCTAGATATCTGCAGACAGATGATGGAAGAGGTACCTACAAGATTTAGTTTCAACTCAAGCAGCTGCTTAGAAGATAAAATCTCTTTATTGTTCTCTTAATTTTATAACAGGTTTTTTTAAAGGCTCCCATCAAGAACTATCCCCCAAAGAAACAGATGTTCTGTTGTAGATGAGAAAGTTTACTACTGCCAGATTAGAAGTACATATATAGGTCCAATTTAGATAAACTTATCAATAAGTTATTACAGGAATAAAAAATTAAGTAATAAAATAAAACAAATTCCTCTCTTGAGTTAAAATCAACCTATGCTTCTCTATTTTTTAGATTTGTTTAGCTTCTCTAAAAGTTGAGATGTACAAGTTGTTTTTAATTTATGAGAAAATTTTTATTTATTTTTTATATTGATTATATTCTCCTGTAAAGACTTGTCTATAAGCTTGCCCAAGTTGGGTCATATTCAAATTCAACTTTTAGACAATGTGTGAACACCAAGCAGTAACGAGCAGAAAAAAGACATACAGAATTTTTTAGCTGTGCACCAGACCCAAAGCTTAAATCTCCTGCTGGAATTGGCAAAACCTTTGAATCTACAATAGGATCTGATATAGGATCAGTTGGGATCTCAAGGGCTGACTCCCGAAGAATCGCATTGAACATAGCAACATCTAGTCTTGCAATGCACTGTTCCATAACCTGGTGAAAGAATTTAAATCTATTCAGTCCTTAGAACAAAGGAAAGGGAAATTATAAACATCTACAAGAATGGAAGGATATTATTAAATAAAAAAAAATCACACCATTCTAGCCAACACAGGCAAACAACCACACTCATGCCCTCCTGCTCGAACAGGACAGAGTCGTTGAAAAGCATCTTGGAAAGCATTTCTCCAGAGATTGATGGAAAAGTTTCCTTGATTGTGATCACCCAAAGCAGGTCCCAGCAGTCTCCCAATGGGTTTATTAGAAGAAGAGTCCCCAACTGGAGACTGCATATGGGGAGTCAAAGCCTGAAAACATAACATGATTCTTAACTCATTAAAAATGCTTTCAAAAATTGTATCAGATCAACCATGTCCAGAGCATCCCAGAGTGCATGAGATGTACTTACAATATATCAATTCTGCAACATATTGAATGAATATTATTGATGACACTTAAATAAATGCCATACATTTAATGACGATCATTATAAGCTTATCTCAAGTCAAAATAGCTATATATGTAAGGATGGTTATTTTCTTACATCAGTGAATGCATCCATATCTTAGATAGAAGCACAATTATGTAACACACACAAGGCAACATTTACCTGCCACCACACTGACTCCACTATCCGAGAAAAGATCCATGATTCTACTCTTTCTAGAGCAGAGGTAAAGGTTCCTGTCTCTTGCCAATCTTCAACAAGAGACATAAAACCATTTCCTGGTTTACCGTTGGAGCTACCCTTCCATTTCAATGCCGCAGACTTCCCATCATTTCGCATGCTGGCCCCATTTGACTCAGCCAACCTTTTAAGGGGACTAGGTTGACATGAATTTCCAAAAGCCTGAGTAATTATCTCTCTCAGCACAGTGGTATTTGACAACCAGAAAGTTAGCCTAAATCACAAATCAAGAAGAGCATATTTATTGTTCATATTCAAAATCAGTAAATGACAAATTTTTAAAGTAGTGCACATACACACCTTGAAACATCATTACCACAAGACTTCGCAACCAAAATAAGGCCAGAAACAGTATTCCTGGCAATTATTGCTCGCCTGTTTTGGCTCCAGTGCTTACAAGCATGTATATACAGCCTGGAAAGGCGCCGAGCAGGTGTGTGCACCTTGTGTGCTGAGCTACCATGCTCTGGTACAACAGAATAAAGTGACACTTCAAGAGCAGCAACTTCTCTCAGTTCCTCTTCAAGCTTTTCAATTCGTAATTCCATTTCTTCAATTTTTATTTCCAAACCTGTCTCGTCCTCATGTTCACCATTTTCTTCAGCATTAATGGTTTCATGACTTTCATCTTCACTTCCCACACTCTGTGCACCATTGGAGGATCCATCCAGGATATCAAGTTCCTTGACCTCTGGAACAGGTTTTTCATCAACACCTTCAGAAGATTCAGACGAAACATTTACAGGAACTTTAACAGTCTTAGAATTGGTTGAAGCATTTTTGTTTGAAACTTTGGAGGGTCCTTTATTTGAGTTCATTGGCTTCTTTTGATTGCTATCAGATACCTTTGATTGCAATTTATTTCCTTTTCCATCAGATCTCTCCCGAGATCCACGATTGCTTTCTGAAGGATTCACTTTAACCTTACTTTTAGGATCTTTTGCAGCTTTTTCTACTTTCTCATTCTCATTTGTGAAAGAATCACCTTGGGAAGATACAGAATCCTTTACTGTCTCAGTATCAGATAGTTCTTCATTCACTTCCTTTTGCTCTTTCTCCAAATCACTGGAATGATCATCAGCTACTTCATTTTTGTTTTCATTAGCAGCCGTTTCATTAACTTTCATCTTGACAAGTGCCTCCTCAGACCTGTTGACATCATCCACATAATGTATAACCACGTTTTCATAAGTTTCCGAATTCTCTGAGACTGTGTTTGAATCACTCATAAAATTATTTGCAGTTGGTCTACTATCCTGGGGTGTCTTAGGTTCAGTTCCTTTTTCATTCAATATTTTGGAAGAATTATCTTGATGCAATTTATTCTCTCTCCTTTCGGTTCTTCTTGAACCCTTTGTCTGACTATTCCTTGAAGCTTTTCTCTTCTCAGTTTCTTTCATACTTTCAAATTCCTTCAAATATCAATCAAATGAAGAAGCTGTGGCAGGGGAAAATGATAGCATTAACTAACCTTATCGAGCTCCTTAAGCGCAAGGAAGTTCTCAATTCCTAGAGTCTGAACTGAAACCACTATTAATACCTACTCCCCAAAATAGTGCTTCACCTTCCACCACCATAAAACTGCGTGCAGAACCTCTTGTATAGCTGTTTTCCTAGGGGCTCAAAACAAACTATGTTCTACCTACAAAAGCAATGATAAAACTAAGTGGTTAGATTCGCAACAACAACAACATCATAATAATAATAATGATGATGATAAGCAAAGATCACAAAAGGAAACCAGCAAATATTATATGGATTGGAGGAGGGGTAAAGGCATTTGAACCATTCATCATAGCGAATATCAAAGCATAAGCCCAAAATAGAAAAACTTGAAAGATGTCAAATGCAGAAAGTTCATATTACACATAGTTTGCAGTAACTGAAAGGGAACCAAATTCAATTTCAAGCCAAAAAAATCAAGACCTCAGAAAGTAAATAACTACTATTGAGATTAGGCAGCAGCAGAAATCAAAATGTGAACATACAGGTATAATTATAAATAAATATAACATTAAGAAACAAAGCTCGGATGCATGAATCAGAGATATTGAAATGCATCCATTGCGATCTTGTCCACAATAGTGAAATTGAAGTTAGTTCCTAAAATTGACCGAACACATCATCACTTGTCTGTTTTACTCTTTTGCAGGAGCAAGACATGCACCTTTTCTGACAAGATAAAAAAAACAAACCACTAATTTGTGGTACCAAGTCGAATTAGTATGGAACGACAAGGACACAGTGATACCGAGGAAATATTCTTAACAAAAAAGAAGAATCGCCAACTAAACAAGATGCCGTTACCATTTCTGAGAAAAAAATTAAAAAAAAAAAAATCTCGATCGTGTAGCAGAGACCTAGAAGTAGAGGATTGACAAATATCCACCATCACCATCGTCAAATATGCTAGCTGGCTATATTCCAATAATTTGAAGACCCATTTAACAACTGTCACTAATCTGTTTAAAAATGTCGTCTTTTTTTTTTCTTTTAACTATTAACTTTGACCAATCCAACCCATCAAGGAAAGAGTAACATCAGGATTTAGGAGTGGAAACTTGAACAATCAACTGCTACATTTCCTTAATTTTCCAAAAAAAAAAAAAAACGCGCACACAAAACAAAACAACAACACAAGGAAAAGGAAGTTATAGTCACTGCTTAATGACAAGAAAGGGGAAAAAAGCAAAATAAAAAAGGTCAAGTACACGCGAAATGCGAAGATTTACATAAAAAGACAACGAAACTCGTATCCAGAAACATTCCACATTTCTACATATAGACAAAAGAGCAAAAAAATTAGTGGAATAAAAGAGGTAAGTACAATACAGAGAATGAAACAAGAGTGTAGAAAACGAACAAGGAGATTGAGAGAAACCAAGCAAGAGTGTGTAGTCAATACGGGAGTTTTGAGTTCGTGAGGACATGATGACATATCTCACGTGAAACGAACAGAAAAGAAGTACAAAGCATAGAAGGGGAGAGAGAGAGAGTAGAGTAAAAAGCTGTAAGCCTGTAACCGTGATAATAAAGAAGGATTGGGGAGGGGCAGTGAAAAACGTTGGAACTTACCCCGAAAACTGCAAACAGAGGGAGTTTTTAATCTTGAAGTGATGGGTAAGCAAAAATGATGGAAAAGTTGGCAGGGGAAAAAAAAGGAATCCTCGGGATTAGCGAGTGTGGTCTGTGTTTTGTTACAGACAAAACAATGAGATGTTGTTGTGATTGTATCGTGAGTTGCGAGAGACAGGGGCAGGAAGAGAGTGCGGGAACGTGGACACATTTTAAAACGGAACAGGTAGTGGTGAAGGTGACCGGGAAAGGGTGTCGGTGCGCGAGGTTCACCGGGTATGGCCGGTTATTCTCTGTCTTTATTCTGTAATTAAGTCAACCTTTTCGCCATCTCATTGGGTGTGATGTGATCCTTGTGGGGGCCCTGTTTCCTAACACCACTCTTCTTCCTCTTCCTTTCTTCCATCTCATTTTTAAAATTTTATTCAATTATTTTAAGTTTTTATTTTAAATTTTAAGAAATTGATATTTTTAACTCCTTAGAGGATCTACAAATCCTTTAAAAAATAGTGACATAAATTAGAAAGGAAAAGTAAAATAAGGAGTGTTAAATGAGTGTAAGTTTTGAAGTGTTTACAAGTTTGAGTTAATTTTTTAAATTCTTTAATAAATAGGAATATGCTCCGTAAGTTGGTCTAAAATTTATTTAATAAATAAAGATTATTTATTAAATTTAACTTGTTTAGTAAAGCTTAAAAGTGTCCAATGTAACTTCTCTCAAAAACTTTATATTCATCTTTACTTTAACGCGCAATCAAACAAATATTATGTTTAAAGTAAAAAAATATAATTTTATTTAAGTTTAAAATAAATGAAAATAGAAACGTATTATCGTATATAAATCCTATTAGCTTGGTACAAAATATATTATTAATTTTTTTTAAATTAGACAAATGATTATCAATGTTCAGAATACTAATTAAAAAATTAATAAAAATTATTATTGATATGTTTTTATTATGAAATTTAATATACTTCTAATATATTTTTAGTAAAAATGATTATTTGTTTTTAATTAATACATTTGATATGTTAGTTAATAAGTTCATAAAAATATTTTTTGATAGAAATATTTTAAAGGACGTTTGATGTTCAAAAAATAATAATTTCTTAAAAATATGTTTTTCTAAAATTATGTTTCTTAATCATTTTATTTCTCGAGAAAGTTAAAAATTCGTTTAATATTTTTAAAATATTGTAAAATAATTTTTAAAATATTTCATTATCGTGTTTAATTTAGATATTATTTTTTTAAGATATTAATGTTTGTTTCAAAAGCATACATTTACTCTCTATGATATTAAAAAAATTATTTATATTGTTAATTAAATGTACGTTCATTTAAAAATTTTAAAAAATAAATTAAAGTTTAAAGGAAAAAATACGTGATACTATCACCGAAATTAAATTATAATGACTTTTTAAATAAATTATAATTATAATAATGAGTTAACTGCCAATATTTTGCGTAAAGAATAAAGATCATGACAAGATAAAAATAGAAATATAGCATAAGTTGAATTTAAATTACGTATATCGGTAAAAGTATTGTTTTTTATAATAATTTAAAAAAAATATTTATCAAAATGACTTTTTAAATAAATTATAATTATAATAATGAGTTAACTGCCAATATTTTGCGTAAAGAATAAAGATCATGACAAGATAAAAATAGAAATATAGCATAAGTTGAATTTAAATTACGTATATCGGTAAAAGTATTGTTTTTTATAATAATTTAAAAAAAAATATTTATCACGTATTGCAATTAATTAATAATATAAACTTATCACGTATCAAAATTAAATTTAAAAAATAAAACTTTGAATAAATAAAAGGTGACGGAACAGTTTAATTTAAAAAAATTGGAAAAATAAAACAATAAAAAATTGCCATTGATTATAATAATTAAAAAAACAAAAAGATGCAATTAAACCCACTAAAAATGATTTCACGTATTTAAGAATTATTCTTTAACCAATATCGTGTGACAAAATATTTAGTGATAATTTGCATAAAATTATATGAAAAGGTTAATTAATTGGTTATGGTTGCAAGGTCGTTTTCATTGGCTGCTCCCATGTTACATTTGCCCACTGTTCGATCTTAATTCACCGTTTGTCAGTGGATATGCTTCTACTTCGACTTCCCTTTTCAGATTTTATAATCACTCGCATGGCTTCTACAACAACGCTAACTTCACTGCTTAGCAATTGAAATTTTTTAAACAATGTTTTTAACCATGCTTTCATGAGTTTTCTTTTTCTCTTTTTTCATTCAATTCAATTTCGAGAAAATAATCATATATACGCAACATTATTATGTATTCACGAGAAGCGAAATGATTTTTTTTGCTAACTTTTATGAAATAAAACGTGCAAATGATTACTATAAAATTTGTCTGTTTGTATGTTGCTTGTTAGACTCTTTGAATCCAAACTCCATGAAACAGTTGTTGTAAAGCTGTAATTGTCAAGTAGCTACACAATGCTCAATTTTCACTTTCAATATACTCAGCTGAATTGGAACGAATATATAACAAGTAAAATTATCAATTATAATTAGAAATGACAACATCTATATAATATATCTACGGCTGATTTCAATTATTTTAAAACATAGTTCAATTATAATATTTATTTTATATTTATATATTTTTTAATGTTGTGTATGAATGGTAGGTATAAGGAAAATGGAATCGCAGTTTAAGAATTAAGAAGAAGGAAGGCAGAGTGTAGGCTCTCCAGAGATCGAGTAGGTGGAAATCCAAAAGGACAACAACTTTAAAGAAGAGATGTAAAATAGTTTATAATAAAAAAAATTAATAAATTAGTTATTCAACAATCAAAAGAAAAGGTAATTTGTATACAATAATCAAAATCAAACCTGCATCGAAATAGTCCCAACTCACAGGAATTCATCAATGGGGTATTAGGATAGGAAAATTTTCTAGTATCCAACTACACACAAATTTGAAACAACTAAAATGATATTTTTTTTTTTAAACTTTTTAGATACATATAAAAGTAATTAAGAGATATAAATAATTATATATGATACAATTTATACTAATATTTGTTCACAGTTAAGTAACATAGCAAATCCAATTAATGATAAGAAGCGTTTGGAATTGGAAGCTTTATAGAAATAATCTAGGCATGTGATATATAATTTTTTAAACTTATTTAATAAATCTCACTAATATTTAAGCTTACAGACATGTTAAATTATTAATTAACTTAATTAAATTATTTTCTTACACATACTCATAATTAATAATTTAAAATTAGACCAATTATGATATCGCTTAAATAAGTAACAAGCGATATTGTAAGATTTTGTGTAAGTCCACTACATTCAGGCATGTAACTCAGGTCAAATTCAAATTAAATCAGAAAAAAAAATTGCATAATTTATTAAATTATTAAATATGTTGATTCATTAATTCAACTATAAAAATATTAGTATTAATTAAAAATAGATATTTAATATCACATAGCATATTAAATAATAGATTAATATAAAATTATAAAAAAGTCAATTAAAATTTAAAAATAACATAAAAATTATATTATATCTCATACAAGAAATTACATCACAATAAATAATTAAATAAAAAATATATAAATATGAATATACTTATTTGTTAAAATAAAAAAATGGTAAACAAAAAATATTAAAAAATAATTCAAAATATTTTTTTTAACCCTGATTATTTCTCAAGATTTGCTGAGAGAGATGACAGCCACGTTTTATTTCTAACACATTCTGTAACTTTAATTATTCTCAAATCTTACTAATTTTTAGTTAACTTGTTGCTCTACTAATCTCGAGTTATTCAAATTAATGGCCTCATTGATTCTCAATTCAATCAATCAAAATGATATTTATAATTTTATTTTTTAAATTATGCTTCTGAATTTCATAAATTCAGTACAGCAGGAATTAGCTTGAGAATGCAACTGATAAATATAGTTAATATGTAAAATAATTTAATTTAGGTTGTGAATGGAAATTAAATAATGAAACATTTAGCGTTAATCACAGTGCAAATATTATTTTTCGTTTGTGTTTATGTTATTATATTCGTTGTATTTTTATAGTATATTTAAGTGTAATAAAAAATAAATTTCTCTTGTTTTAAAATAAAATAAATTATAGTGAATAAAAGCGTGTACTGTAATTCTCTGGCTCCACACCTATACCTAAAATATTATTCGTAC